TCATATGACACACCACATAATGATAGTTTTTAAGGTAATATCAGTACATGTTATTACCTAATTTGCATAATTAATTAATTTTCAGCTTTTGATATTTCGAGTAGTAATGATCACGTTTCAATGAAACTTAGTACATAGTTACTTGAGGACTGTGCAGAACCTAATTAGTTTTTGGGTAAATATTTGTCATATTAATCACCTTATTAGCATAATTATTAATTTTTTGCTGTTCTATGATGTCTAAAAACCACTCATTGGATTTCAATGAAACTTTTAAAGAGTACCCATCACATTTCAATGAACCTAAGACTATGCACCATATTAATTTTTGGTAAATATTTATGCTTCTTAATCACCTAATTAACATAATTAATACTGATATCTCAAGTATTGATAATCACATTTGAATAAAACTTGGTACATAAATGCTCTAGGACAAACAGTCTGATTAATTTTGGGTTAAAATCTGTTCATATTAATTCTCTAATTAGCATAATAATTAATATTTTTTTGGTTCTAATCACATTTCAATGAAACTTGGTACATTGTGCAGACCTTATTAGTTTTACACTTAAATCTGTTCATATTAGTTACCTTATTTGCATAATTAGTTTTCAGCTATTCCATCAATATCTCAAGTATAAGTAATTTTGAATTAATTTTTAATGTGTCTCCAAAAATCTCAGCACACGGGAGTTCTTTCTAAGCTTTCTTTGATTTGGTGTTGAAGTTAGTGTATATCGGTGGTTTGCGCGAGGTTTGTGAAAATACGCGATAGAATTTCGCAAAAATGTAAATACGGATACGAAGCCAACATATTCGAGAGTACGAAAAGCTAAACGGCGACATCGTCACTTTTATGATTTTAAACTTCAATCGACGTTAACTCCCGTTTTACCAGCAAAATTTATATGGGCTAATAGTAAATAAATTACTTTGAAGGTTGTTTTCAATAAAAATCATGAATTAACATTTATATCTGTAAAAAAAACAGTATTTTTTGACCGTTCTCTTTCACGTTATGGAGTTTTGAGACGGTCTGTGCTGATAACGAACGGTTACGTCATTCATTACAGCTAGGATTATGCAAAGTAGGCGGTTCTGTTTGCAGGTAGCAAACAACACAAATACTATACTAGGCAGTTGAAGTGTTTGTCAACATAGTGTATTTATTTTGGGGCCGTTTTATTTGCAAACTTATTTTCTCGAGTATTCCACGAGTTTCAAAGTCTTCTAGAGACAGAAGAACACCTTCCGACACTATTTATCAAGACTCCCGCGAGCAAACTTGTGTAGAATACGGTAGAAAATTAAATGGCGGCTGTCGGGTAAGTTCTTTTTAAGTGTGGATATGGGAAAATGTAGTCAATTTTCAACACGAAAATATTGTAAATCTGCTAGCCGGCGAGTCCATTTTACCTGGATAAGCCCATGGAGGGATCTCTTTTCTACCTCCACGATAAGCCTAAAGCGATTTCGAAGAGTACGCCGCCCACCTCACCCAAGTGTTCGTCTTACAGCACATTTATATACACTCTTTTTGCAGGTACGACGGACTTTGGTCTGACTTTGGTAGCAGCTAAATTCAAGTCCATTATGTTCGCCAATAACCGCGCTGCATCACGTTTTAAACTTGCCACTTTCTTTCCACAAAAAGTCACAGCAACTGCGGATTCTGGCGATCTCGGCGTGGGAAGCTACCGTATTGTGGCATCCCAACAGCAAGTACATTGCGGATATTGGATAACAACTTTTTTTCTTTTCCGCTCTTGATAAGAGTGATCAATCACTGTCAACAGACTGTAATATGTGTTTCAATTGACGACTCTTTCTACGTAATTCGACCAATGAAAATGCAGTGTTCTAAAATATTTACAGACACTAAACAACCCCACGTGGTTTGTTGTTATGGCTATGAGAAGGCTACGAGGTGTCTTTGTTGCCGCGAACTGGCCACTTCGGTTGAACTTTTCTGGTCTGTTTATATTTTCCACTTCCGTAATGAATGCGTCGTCGGCCTTCTTGGGAAACATCCTTTAGGGATTGGTCAGTTACTTCGGCCTAGGGGGGGGGGGTCGGCAGATTTCATTTTGCCAGCTGTAAATCTCAGTTGACCCACCCCCTATCAAATAAAAAAAGTGGGTGACCCCCCAAAAAAACATTATATTTTAAAACTAAAAACATGCTGACCCCCCCAAAAAAAAAACAAACAAAAAAAACAAAGAAACATTAACAGTTTTGGCTCTGACATGATTACAAAATGTATTATATGTGCATTGAAAATATGATGGTTTGCCATAATTTTGACATAATTATTAGCGTTTGCATTTAATAGACCTTAGGAGGGAAGGGGAAGCATAAAGCCAAAACATGACTACAGAAAAGGCTGCAGGAAGGAGGGAAATCTATGTTGCTAAAGATAGTAAATAAAAGCAAAGCTGTGGAGTACTCACTCGATATATGCCCTTAATTTTAATTTATATATCAGCATTTTCACAAACTTAACTTTTTTGACTTGTTGAACAAAAACTGTCACTGCTCTTTGTACTAATTGCTGTGTTGTCTTTCCGTCTCCTGTTATAATTGGATAAATCCAGTAAATATCTTATACAATGTTGAGTGACTTCAGACTTTAAATAAAATAATCTGATATCAGCAGCACATGGACTTGGGATGTGTTAAAACTTAAC